CTCCGCTTTCAACAGAGGTCTGCCGCCCACGAGCTGGTCCGTTTTCTCGTATTGAGCCAGAGGCAGGCCTTCCTGGGTGCCTAATATCCAAGCTTCCCAGCCGCAGTGAGACGAATCTTCCTTGGCGAAGTGCGCTCCTCCTCCTCCTCCTCCTCCTCCTCCTCCTCCGCCAAGACAGGACAAGTGTTTGCATTCGCTGCCGACCGCGTCTTTGTCCGCCTACCACCCCGCGGCGACGAGCGCATCGATCCTCGACGCGGAGTGCCAGCGCGGGTTCGACCTCCGACTCACCCACCACTTCAACTTCCGAGGCCTTGACCCCACCGTACAATGATGGACCTGCTGAAGCCAGGAGGGCCTCCTCCTTCACCCTCCCCCTGCTGGCGCCGCTGCTGCCTGGCATGGCTCGCTCATGCGCCGCCTTCGGCTGCGCGGAGCGGACTGCCGGACACGGTGCCGTCGGCCCCCTCCCGCTGGTGGGAGAGCGCTTGCTGCGCCCCGCGCGCCGGCCGAGTCCTACTCGGGCAGCCAGCCCCAGCGGGCTTTCACGAGCCCATGGCAGCAGGCGCAGGTGGACGGAGGGCCGCACGAGGCCCACGTGGCGGACATCGGCGGCCACGCCATGGTCTCCACAGTGCGGCGGCGGCGCCCCACCCCCGAACGCCAGGGGGATCGACCCGACACCATCCCCCTCCGCCTCTGCAGGCACAGTGTGCTCAATCAGGCGGTGGGTGAACACCTGCGCGTGGTCTGCCCTTCCCTCGAGTCGGTCCCGCAGCGGCAGCTCCTGACGGCCCCGATACTGCCGGGCGCATCGGGGGTCACGGAGGGCTTCCTCCTGCGCAGCCAGACGTGGTTGCGCGACTCCACGCCATTGTGTGGGCAGATGAGAGAGCGAGAGAGAGAGAGAGAGAGAGAGAGAGAGAGAAAGAGAGAAAGAGAGAAAGATAAAGAGAGAGAGAGAGAGAGAGGGAGAGAAAGAGAGAGAGAGAGAGAGAGAAGGAGAGAGAAAGAGAGAGAGAGAGAGAGAAAGAGAGAAAGAGAGAGAGAGAGAGAGAGAGAGAGAGAAAAAAAAAGGGAGAGAGAGAGAGAGTTAATTACTCACTGCGTGGAGCTCCCCATAGGAGCATCATTTTTGAAAGATAGTTGGTATGGGAACCAGCAGACCAGCAGACACAGCCTCCACTCCCATGAGACCTCTTCTAGTATTTGGCGGCGCGCCTGTCCAGGTGATGGGGAGAGTCGGAGAGGAGCACTGGGAGGGAGGGTCGGAGAGGAACACTGGGAGGGAGGGTCGGACAGGAACACTGGGAATGAGCGTCGAAGCGGAGCACTGGGAGGGGGGTCGGCGAGGAGCATTGGGAGGGAGGTTCGGAGAGGAGCTGGGAGGGAGGGTCGGACAGGAACACTGGGAATGAGCGTCGGAGAGGGCGAGGAGCACTGGGAGGGAGGTTCGGAGAGGAGCACCGGGAGGGGGCGTCGGCGAGGAGCACTGGGAGGGAGGTTCGGAGCGGAGCAGTGGGAGGGTGGGTCGGCGAGGAGCACCGGGAGGGAGGTTCGGAGAGGAACACCAGCAGGGGGTGTCGGCGAGGAGCAGTGGGAGGGAGGTTCGGAGAAGAGCACCAGGAGGGGGCGTCGGCGAGGAGCACTGGAAGGGAGGAGCACTGGGAGGGGGGGTCGGCGAGGAGCACCGGGAGGGAGGTTCGGAGAAGAGCACCAGGAGGGGGGGTCGGCGAGGAGCACTGGGAGGGAGGTTCGGAGAAGAGCACCGGGAGGGAAGATCGGAGAGGAGCACTGGGAGGGAGGTTCGGAGAGGAGCACCAGGAGGGAGATCGTTGTAGGCTCCCGCCGCCCTGATCCCCGAGGGCTGCTTTGGGGACCTCCGAAGCCAAAATAACAACCGAAAACAACAAAATAACATAATCCTAAAAACACTAGAAAAACGTATGGCCATGCCTTACAGCACCAATTTTTGCGAACGACAGGATGCCCCGGGGCCCACGAATCCCCGGAACCCAAAATTACAAAACGACCGCATTTCCCTTGTGTTTGATTCCTATGCGCTGAAAGTGTGCTCCTGGTCCTCCTCCGACTCCTGCTGTCTCCTCCGTGCGTCCCAGAAGGTACGTGCCAGAGCACGACCCAAAGAAGCAGCACGCATCCTCCCTCATCTCCTTCCTCCAACCGTCCCAGTGGGTACGTGCCGGAGCACGACCCAAGAGGGCAGCACGCCTCATCTCCTTCCTCCGTGCGTCCCAGAGGGTACGTGCCGGAGCACGACCCGAGGGAGCAGCACGCCTCCCCTTGGCGGCTCCCCTTTAGAGGTGCTGAAACCAGCGCCCCGCCTGAGACATCCTCCACATCTGCTCTGAAAGCAAAGGATGTTGGGACGAAAAACAAGCAAACCGCTTGAGACATCCCCACAAACTGGCCGCGAACGGGCCCATGCAATGCCCCCGTGCGGCTCCCTTTAGAGGTGCTGAAACCAGCGCCCCGCCTGAGACATCCTCCATATCTGGTCTGAAAGCAAAGGATGCTGGGCCAACAAACAAGCAAACCGCTTGAGACATCCCCACACTGTCCGCGAACGGGCCCGTGCAATACCCCCTGGCGGCTCCCCCTTGGGGTACCCGAGTGTCACGCCTGCTTTATTGCGGAGAAAGTCTATGATTACGAGTCTTAGTGAGTATGAGTATGAGTGGTGGGAGCGTGAGTGAACATGGATGAGTAGGAGTGGGTGTGGGCATGAGTGAGCATGTATGAGTGTGATTATGTGACTGGGTCTTGGTATGAGTGACTCCGAGAGAATATGAGAATGACTGAATCTAAGTGTGAGAAAGTCAAACTACGCGTAAGTCTGGGTATGAGCAAGTCTGAGTATGAGGGAATGTAAGTAGGAGGAGACGAGGGAAGGAGAGGAGGAGGAGAAGAGGAGGAGAAAAGGGAGTAGGAGGCGTCTAAGTAATCATTCACCGCGTGGAGCTTCCCATATGTGTATGTATATATATATATAGATATTAGCATGGGCCTGTCTGCCGTGAGTGTCTAGGCGCAAGAATTTTCGAATATTCATGGGTTTGAATATCGACGGCGTGGGAGTGAATCTAATTGTGGATGATGTGGAGTGTGAATGAGTCTCAGTAGCACGAGCGCGTGTCTGCGCATGCGCCAGGGGCCACCTGGGGCCTCCTGAAACCTCCTGGGGCTTTCTGGGGTCTCCTGGAGCCTCTTGGGGCCTCCTGTGGTCTCTTGGGGCTTCCTGTGGCCTCCCGAGGCCTCCTGGGGCATCGTGTGGCCTCCTGGGGCTTCCTAGAGCCTCCTGGAGCCTCCTGGGGCCTCCTGGGGAGGATTCGTGTCCCAGAAGAGGCCCAATCTATAGAAACATAAACACATAAAACACCACGGATTGAAGCCGCAGGAGAAGGGCAATCTACAGGTAAAACACCAAGGACTCGTGCCCCAGGGGAGGCCAAATCTTTAGAAATATGTGTAAAACACAAAGAGGCTGGAGGAAGCTGAGGACCAACAGCGGAGGATGCTGGGCACCAAAACAGGCAAACCGCTCGAGACATCCCCGCCATCTTAGCGCGAACGGAAGCCGTGCAATACCCCTTGGCGGCTCCCCCTTGGGGGTGCTGAAACCCGCGCCTCGCTCGAGACATCCTCAGAATTTGCTCCGCATCATCATCATCATCATCATCATCATCATCATCATCATCATCATCATCATCATCATCATCATCATCATCATCATCATCATCATCATCATCATCATCATCATCATCATCATCATCATCATCATCATGATCATCGTCATCATCATCATCATCACCATCATCATCGTCATCGACATCTTCATCGTCATCGTCATCATCACCAGCATATTCACCATCATCATCATCATAATCATCATCATCAACACCACCATCATCACCACCACCACCATCCATTATCATCGTAACCATCATCTGCATATTCTGAGTGGGATGGGGAAGAGAAGGAGAAGGTGACCTGAAGAAGGAGTCGGCGCGGTCAGAGTATTGACAATAACCCCATCTTTTAGACATGGGGAATGACAAGAGCCCCATCTTAGGATATGGGGAAACAGAGAGAATGGCGCACGCAAATCAGCGTGGGACTTGTATTTTGAGTGGCACGGGCGCCGCTGGATGTGCTGCCGGTCGGCGTGAAGCCGTGCGGCGCGCTGCGGTGCAGGGCGCTTGGCGGGTAGCCCACTTGCTAATGCTCCGCCATACCACTTCCTATGCCCAGCGTGTGTTGCAGGGGTTGGTATAGAGGATGTTCGAGTGAGAGAGGGAGAGAGAGGGATATAGAGAGAGAGAGAGAAAGAGTTGGCTGGGAGTGGCACTGAAAGGCAGAGACAGCGCGCCTCACTGCCCACGCAAGGGGGCGTGTGCCACAGTGGTTAGCAGGTCACCAGCACCCCCGTGCTCCTAGAAGTTCACCTCCACCTCCTTGCTCCTTCCTCCTCGCCCACCCTGGTCTGATAGCCAGGCTCCCGCGCCGCGGCCGCAGACCGATGGCCCTCTGCCGCTCGAGGTTCGCGCGCGCGGGGCCTCCCGAGCGAGACCAGCCTGGCGGAGGGCTCAAGTCCACCTGTGAGGTCCCTCCCTGTCGGTGTTGAACGAGGCCTGACGCACGGGCCGAGTGGGCGAGAGTCGGAGATCAAACTCCTCTCCCCTCCCTCACGTCTCTGCCTCCATCCCTAGATATGCGATGTTCTGATTTCTCATTCATTTCGGGGTCCCCAGGGCCCTTTCCCCAGGGCCCATTTTTCACCCCGAGCCGTTTTTTGACGGCCCCGGGCCCTGCGAGGGCCCCCGGGGGGCCGAAGACTGCGAAGCGCAGCTTCCGTCGTGCTCTCTTTCTGCGACTCGAGCGTGTCTGGCCGCCCCTCCCCACCCCCCTCTCCTCCCTCCCTGCCCCCGTCCCTCCCCCCCTTCGTCCCCGGCCCCCCTGCCCCGCCGAGCGCCCGCCAGGCCGTGCTCCAGGAGCGCCTGGCCGAGCTGGAGCGGGCCCGCAGGGAGGCGGAGGAGGCGCAGGACGCGGCGGCCCCCGGCGGCGCGCTCGCGCGGGGCCTGCGGGCCTCGACGGGCCCGCCCGGCCCCGACCCGCCCGCCCTCCGCCCCGCATCTGAAGAGACTCCGAGCATCCAAGAGGTCTCTGACGATTTTGCTCGCCTTCCTCCTCCTCGTCCTCCTCCTCCTCCTCCTCCTCCTCCTCCGCGTCCCTCTCCTCCTCCTCTCCCTCCTCTCCTCCTCCTCCCCTCCTCCTCCTCCTCCCTCCTCCTCCTCCTCCTCCCTCCTCCTCCTCCTCCTCCTCCTCCTCCTCCCCTCTCCTCCCTCCTCCTCCCTCTCCCTCCTCCCTCTCCTCCTCCTCCTCCTCCTCCTTCCCCTCCTCCTCCTCCTCCTCCTCCTCCTCCTCCTCCTCCTCTTTCTCGTCCTCCTGAGGTTGGTGGAGGTCCCCCCCGGCGCGGCCTTTTCCCTTGGGTTTTGAGCCAAGGGGCCCAAGCAGGGTGGCAGCATGGGGCCTGTCCCCGCACGCCGCCCCGTCGCCCTGCGCGGGCCTTGTCGCACAGGTGCAGCTCCAGAGCTACAGGAAACATAGGACATGCATATTTTGACAATCGGCGTGCCCTGGACCGGGGAAGGCGGGAAAAGAGGTATAGGGAGGTCCAGAATACGCGTCCTAGCAAACTATACCCATACAAGCTTGTATAGAGATCCACAGTGCCATGCATGACGAGCTCGACCTTTCGATTCTTGTGAAACCTACATTGCAAAGACATTGACGTCCTAAGCAGTCACTCTTCCATCATTCACATATGTATCGCTGCAGCTGCACCGCTCACATCCACGACGTCGTACGGCCGGTGGTGTGCCTGCACCTTTGGAGCACAGCTGCTCCTCTTGGGAGTGGCCTTGAGGATTGTAAGGGCGCTTCGTAGTCGTACCGACCTTGTTGATTTTCTTATTCCGCTTTCTGTTGGCGTTCTTCCTGGAGCGCTGGTTCCTGTTTGGCGGCTTCCGGATTACGACGCGTGGAGGACGGAGGCGAAGCTGTTCAGCTGGCTCCGCAGCAGCTTGTCCGAGGAGTTCGACCGTCAGATCTCGAAGATGCTGTAATGGCAAACTGTTCTCATTGACCAACATGAGCTCGTCCGTGCCAAGCCTGTGGGTGATGAGGGTTTCCTTGGCGCCGTAACGGTCCAACCTTTTGACCTCGATGACAAGAACTCCCCTCCAAGGGATTCGTGCAAGTAACGTGGAAGCACTCGTCGTCAGAACTATCAACCACGATCGTGAACACCTTGACTGGGAATTCGGATCTTCCCGCTGGGATAGGATGACCTCTTGGGAGCGCTGGGCACGACTGTCACGGCTCCGCCGCATGTGTGTCTTCAGATCGGCTGCCTTGTCGAGGACCTCCCTGTGGAGGTCCTGGAGGGTGTTCAGACGTGCCGCCTGCAGGGGGCGGCTCGGGGCGAGGAGGGCGCTGGTCTGACCGATGCCCTCGGCGTTGTCCAACATCGCCGCGCCGCAAGCGAACTCCACCATCCGCTGGCCGGGAGGCATCCGGGTCTGGCCCGACGAAGAAGACGGACGTGATGACGGCTCTGATGAGACCTTAACCCATCCATTACTGAAGTGATCAACTCGGATGCCGAGCAACCGCCCTATAAGGTACATGAGCTTGTAGTGGCCAAGGGCTTTTGTGAACGCATCGGCTATGTTATGAATTCCAGGCGTGTGGTTTGGTACGATCCCGCACTCATGCAAAAGGGTGATGACACCTCCGCATGCTTTTTCAAATGTCCGAGCCTCTGGCTGTATCCTTGTTGGATGGCCTGTTCAACAGCTTGGTTGTCAAGACAACCAGCAATCTCTACTGGAGTGGGGCGTGTGTACTCGACCATGGCTTCGAGACGACTGGAGTTCTTGGCCGTTGTGTCCCATGCGAGGCTCTCGCTTTCGCCTTTGCTGGTGGTGGCGACGTCCTGGCGCGCAGCTCCCCGCGAGAGGGGGTGCTGCGAACCCTTCGGCCCGACCAACCCCAGATAGAAACCGGTAGTGCTCTTCGGAACATTGAAATCTGCATCAGACCATGCATGCAAAGGTAAACCGTCCAAGCTGTCGCCGGCATTGAGCGTGACCTTTTCGAGATCAAGTGTGGTGGACCAATACCCTGCGAGATGCGCAAGTTCTGTCTGTGCCCACCGACACCACTCGTCGACGAACCGGGCGACACGGCCTACAGCGAAAGATATTTCAGGGCGTGAACATCTGACAGCGTAGAGGCTCTCACCTTATAATATCTTACGCCTATCCGTGCTGCCTACGACGGTGGGCTGTCCTCAGGGCGCGGACGTGAAGTTTCTTTAAGCGGGAGTTGATCTTGGTCGTGCTGTTTTTTCTTGTGACGGCCTGCCAATCGTTGACGATGCGTCTGCAGTAGTCGCCCTGAGAGATGGTGCACACGGTGCTGGACCTACCGTCAGCGAGTGTCATAAGACGTCGAGGGCTACAGATGCGCCCCAAAAACTTGCGGACGATCTCAGGCGACTTCGAGGCAAACATCGTGCGGATGATGGCCCAGATGCACTCACGGTGACGTTTCTGCGCGTCTAGCTCACAATCACCGACATATGTAGCCATACTTGAACAATGCTTCGAACTACGGTTTTGCTGGTGGTGTGGGACCGTGATCTTCTGGAATGTGTCATGCTGAGATGGCGTATCAACGCGGTCGCGCTGAGAAAACGGATTCCAGCCAGCCTGGATCTCAACATCAACCCAAGACTTCTCGCTGGAGGGCATTTTTGTTGTTATCTTTGTGCCAGAGATAGAGAGCAGCTGGTTCTTCCTCAATCGTTTGCCACTCGTTCCAGATCAACCGCTGCGTAAATTCAGCGATGAAGTCGGAGCCGCACCGTTGGAGACCACACGCAGCACGCTTCAATCTACAGACTGGTGTACACAGCACAGCACGCTTCAATCCACAGGCTTGCATACGACGGGCGTTGGGCACCATGCACAGCACCATGCACAGCACGCGCGGAAAAGACGACGGACATCTTCAGGGATAATGTCTATGACCTCAGTTGGTATGATTTCTGTAGTATTCGATGTCACCCACCGGCAAGATCTGCAAGTACGCATTCAGCAAATCTATAGCTTCGGTTTCCCTCCCCATGGCCAAGCTGCGTGCCTTTACGAAGCGAGCTCCGGCCAGGCTGGCAACAGGAGACCACAAGAGGTCGGGAAATGACTTTCTGACCTGCGTGTGCTTCTTGAAGAGAATGTTGCACACCGCGACGAATCGGGCCTTGCACTCATTGAGGGCTACTGGGAAATCGAAGTGTTTTTTCGGAGATAAGGAGGTCGCCTTTCACGACGCGGGTCGAATGTGGGATTGATTCGAGTTCTTGGGGTGGTGCCCGCGCAGGGCGTTCTATCATGCGAGCGAACCCCTGGGCCGCCGCCTCAACGCCACGAGGTGTCTTGAGGTACTTCTTGGCGTCCATGAGTTGGGTGACGTGCGCCGCCCGATGCCCGAGCGCGTGCGTCGCCTCGGATTCCAGCTCCAGCCGGGCGATCTCTGTCCAAAAGGCTCGGAACACATCTGAAGTTGGATTTGTAATTGGAGGATCGGGATTGGGGAGCGAGGTCCTGGTAAATAGCGTTGCTACTTCCTCTGGAGATAGACCCGGGCACGCGTCGTCTCCAGATGTATCGGGAGCTGCCGCAGACGATTGTGTGTTGAGGTAGTGCTCGGAGTCCGTGCCCGACGCGTGATCTGACGGGCCTACACCTGCGCGGGCAGCACGGCGACGGGTCCTCGGAGGTACGTCTGGCTGAGCTGTCGTGCGATCGCTCTGGCGCGCATGGTAACGCTCCCGCCAATGGCGTCGTCTCTCTCTCTCTCTCTCTCTCTCTCTCCGGTCGTGGCCCTCTTGCTCAACCCAGGGACGGAAGTCGTCTGTGCCTAGCCGCCGGCGGGGGGCCAGTCGGGCGAGGCGCCTCGCCGCGGCTGTCGCCTGCGCTACCTGGCTGCGGGGAACTCTCCGGGAGAACATCTACCTCGATGTCGCTCGGGGCAGTTCCCGAATTCAAGGGTGCACCCAAGGGGGCTGGCTTCGAGGGCGGTGAAGGGGGGAGGGGGGATCGCCTCGCGGAAGCGCTCTGTAGCGCAGACGATCGGCCGCTCGACAACCCAACGCTCGCCGAGCGCGGTGATCGGAGAGACGCGTGCACCCCCCGGAAGTTCTCGAATCGAATCCGACGAATATCCTGAGTTTGCATGGGGGTCCAACCAGTCATTCCGCTGCGATTTGCGGACGAAGTGCAAGACTTGACATCCCCATGGAGGCCATTTGGAGACATCTTGAAACGTGCTGTCAGGGTTGTCCGGTGCCCGTGGGACCTGTTTGTCGGCGAAGCCAGGGGCGACGTGTGAGGTTTTAGTGAGGGGGCGACCTGTAAGGTATGATTGAGGATGGTGCCGGCATGCTGGAAGGCTTCGTCCCAAAGTGCATTCGGAACAGAAGCTTGCGGAATAATGCCCCCGATAGTTTCGAACGCTCTGGGTGCGACGCTCGGCAACGCCATTGGCCCGAGACAAACAGCCGCCCGCGTCTGTCTGCAAAATGCCACTCTCGCGTAACCATTTTCGCGCTCTCCCAATAATTCCGCGCCGAGAACGGAATGGAAACGCCGCGAACTACGCTGGTGAAATTCACGTGTTATCATGTCGTCCCTCACTGTGGCCGATGCTTTGTTGGGTAGTCCGACTGCGAGTCCGCGGCGAGATTTTCGGATGACCATTGCCAGTTACAATTCAGAGAGACAGGAAGGTGGACCCACCATGTCAGCAGATATCCCCCCCTCGCCGCTCTCATCTGAGATGCGCCGGGCGGGGCGTGCGCGGAGTTTGGCTTGGGCGCAAATGCTGCAATCTGGGTCGTGATCGATGTGTCCCCGTCGAATTTGATCCACAATTGGCTCCTCTTCAATGGGGGATTTTTCGGGATAGGGTCCAGACTCCGGGAAGAAAAATACAGGGGTGTGGGAGCCTGAGTTGCGCGGGAAATCGATGCAAGGATCGAGTTTCGTGAAATTTGGAACAGTATCTTCTCGCAGGGCGACTCTGGCATACGCGTCGACGCAATTACTGGCCATTGGACCAATGCGTGGTGTCGCGGTTCCAGCTGGGCGAGGCTGCTCGCCGCAACTGTTCTCAAGAGCGCCGAGAGACGGGTGGGCTGGGCGCGACGACAGGTCGGTTCCAGCCGGGCAAGGCTCCTCGCCGCGACTGTCCCCGTGCATGCTCCAGGACGTTCCTACTCCTTCTCCCTCTCCTGCTCCCTCCTGCCCCCCTTCCTCGCTGCGCGCTGGCGCGTGATTGAAAGCAGCGGGGGCGCTCGCAGGAGACGCGGTGCTTTTCGATCTGGCACTGGTGCTTCCATCCGAATGGGATTAGTTCCCCTCCCTGACCAAATTATGCTGCTTTCCCGCGGTGCCTGCCAGCGTCGCTCCAGGCCTGCCCTCTTTGTGCTCCCGCCCGTTGTGCGTATGAAGAGCTAGAGATAGCAAGGGGGAGTTAGCCGCGGCGCAAATTAGACAAGATTGTAGATGAAGACCACCACAAACAACATCTACTTTTCGGTGACAAGCGTCTCGCCGCTGGCGGTTGCGAGCGCGATTGGGTGCGCCAGAAGTCTCCGATAAACCGCGCGCGGGCAGTCTTTGCCGCGCAAAATATGCCTCTCGGCACCGGGGTCGGAGATCGGACGGAGGACTTCGCGCGCGACCCTGTGCTCGCCGATGCTGATGGACTTGAATGCGAGACGCGCCATTTGACCATTCAGTCTTTGCAGGAGGTCCCTGGTGCGTTTGTACTCTGTCTAGAACTGTTCCATGTGCTGCTCTGCTTGGGATGCGAGTGAGTTCAAAGTGACTGCGGTTGCTGTCGGTGGGGCATGCGGTGTCGATTTGCCGCCCGAGAATGCGCCTGCCTTGTTGGCTCCGGTCCAACTCTGCTCTGCGCCAGGTGCTAACTGGCCGGCTCCGATCCGGCTCCTCTTCCTTTCGTTCAAACTTTGCTGCGGCGCGGGCGTCTCTGGTGCGCCGCCCGAGCTGTTGGTTCCGATCCAGCTGGGATTTGCGTCGTCAAGTCCTGGTCCTCTGCATGTGCCTTTACCTTTGCCCTTGTTCGGGCATTCGTTGCCCCGGTGGCCAGTTTGGCCACGCATTTTCGCGGGCGTCGTCGGGCAAGCGTTGTGCTTGTTGGCCCCAGGAACCGCTTGAAGTGCCAGGGGCGCGCGCGGGAGCTGTGCTGCTGTGGTAGAAGCGGCACCTGTCGCCCATGGAACACCACCCGCTCAGATAGAACGAGCAGGGGATCCACGCGTTCTTGCCTGTGCCTGTCTTGCCGTCCTTGCCTTTGCCCATGCCGACTTTGCCTGTTGCTGCAGCGCCGGCTAAGACGCTTGCCAGCGGTGGCGGGGTGTCGGTGGTTGGCGCGTCGTGCGCGAGTGCCCACTCGCCCGCCTTTCGCTCGGCCATCTCGTAGATGGCGTGGACATCGTTCGGGTGCGTATGCGACGCCATTTACAAGGTCACTTGGAGTGGCTTGAGCTTGCCGATCGGCCTCCGCAGTGAGCGAAGAGCTGTTTGTTGTGAGGATGCGGAGTCTACCGCCCGCAGCTCGTCGTAGTCAGTCTTGCACGCCCGAAGCGCGCGCTGCAATGCGGTTTTGTCGGTGACCGGCTCCAGGTCAGTGAACTTGGCATTCAGGGCGGACGCGCGCGCTGCTCTTGGCTTCAGGACGGCCCTGGCAAAAGCCGCCAGCATCGATGTGCCGTGGGCGCGGTCTTCGTCAAAGTAAATGCGTAGTTCCTAGTCCGCGAGCCCGCAGAGCTCGAAAGCTAACGCCTTGTTTGCTTTGGTGTAGGCCGGGCTGTCGTGCACCAGTGACGTGTCCAGGCCCTGGTCACTGAGGACCAGTTGTACCGCGTCAGCAAAGCCTGCACTCTGCAGGCCGCTACAGCTGGGGAACTTGGTGTCGACCCACGTGCGCCGCGGCTTGACCGACGGAAGGGCGCGGGGACCTTCCGGCAGGGCGTGCAACGGCTGCCTGGAGCTGCCGCCGCCCCCGCCGCCGCCGGACTGCATTGCAGACAGCTCACGCACGACCTCTGAGAGGCTCTCCCCAAATTTGCACATGAGGAAAGCGTTCTCGTCAGGTGGGTGGGGCGTTCGGTGCTGCTGTTGTTGGAGTTGGCTGTGGTGGTGCAGGTAGCCCTGGTGGCCCCTCCTGGCGTCCAGCCGGGCGAGGAGCCTCGCCACGACTGCCAGCCCAGAGGGGCACAGGTGCTGCTTGCCTACTTGTCTGTGCTGGTGTCTGTGGTGATGACCTACGTGTCAACGGTGTTTTCGGAACGGCAGTGGATGGTACATCTACCGACGGTCGATCAGGAGTTACTTCAGCCAGATCGTCGTCATCGTCGTCGGGGATCCGAAGAGATGCAGCATCCACCATCCGATCGATCACGTGCGAGCGCGGGCGGAGGCTGAGGGGCAGGTGCCGGCGCTGGGAGCGAAGGGCTCATAACCTGAGGTTGGTGGAGGTCCCCCCGGCGCGACCTTTTCCTTGGTGTCTTGAGCCAAAGGGCCCAAGCAGGGTGGCACCATGTGGCCTATCCACGCACCTCCTCCTCCTTTTCCTCGTCCTCCTCCTCCGTCTCCTAGTCCTCCTCCGCCTGCTGCTCCTTCTCCTCCTCCTCCTCCTCCTCCTCCTCCTCCTCCTCCTCCTCCTCCTCCTCCTCCCCCTGGGGTTGGCGTGTGTTGGCGTGGTCGAGTGCACAAGCGCCCGCCCCGCCCGCCAGGCCCTGACCCATCGCCCTCCGCCCTGCATCCTCGACCCTCCCTCGGCGCAACCCCAACCTACTCATACCATGTCCCTGAGATCCTGGCGTCTCTATTTTTTTGTATCGGGGCGTTTTTGTTTGCCTTTCTTTGGGCCCCGGGACCCTCACACCTCGATCCAGTTCGAAACATGACGTAGAAAAATGCGGTCTAGGGCTCCAGGCGTTTTTTTTTTGTTTTTTTTTTTGTTTGTTTTTGTGTGTGTGTTTTTGTGTAATTACTTTTTATAGGATTATTATTATTATTGGTATTGTTTTTTGTTATTGTTAGTATTAATAGTATTATTTTTGTTGTTGTCATTGTTGTCATTGTTATTATTATCATCATTCTTCTTCTTCTTCTTCTTCTTCTTATTATTCTTATTATTATTAATAATAATACTTACTACTATTGTTATTAGGATTATGATTATGATTATTATTATTACTATTCTTATTATTATTCTTATTATTATTAATGGTTTTTCCCTGTCGCCCCGCAAGGGGCGACGCGCGCTCCGAGAAGTCTTCTAGCACGGGCGCTCTCTGACCACACCGCTCGGATCTGACGCGCGCCTCCGAGAGGAAAACGCACAGTGCGGGTCTGTCCTTGTGCGTCCCTTTCCTCGACGGCGCCGCGGCTTTTGACGAGCCCATCGGCCTCTTCGATCCGATCCGGCCCGCTCGTTCGGCCCTCGATCCTCGTGCGCTCCGTCGCGTCCTGATTTTTTCGATGGTGGTTCCCTGGAAGTCCCGACCCATGCCCCAGGGCCACTTTCTCGTCCCGAGCCCTTTTCTGACGGTCCCGCGGGCCGGCGAGGGCCCCAGGACGCCGAAAACTGCCCAACGCCTCCCGCTGTGATTTTTTTTCACGACGCGAGCGTGGCTGGGCCTCGGGCCCTTCGGAGCCGCCGCCAGGCTGCACCTCCGCCTTAGGCCACGGCCACCCCAGGGTCTACCCTAGGCTGCCCCAGGGCCCCGGGTAGGCCCTACCCTATGCTGCCTCACGGCCTTGGGTAGGTCCAAGGGTAGCCCCCCCCCAGGTTTCACACCCTCGATCCTAGACAGCCGGCGCTCCACTTCTTTCGATGCGTGGGTCCCTGAGGTTCTGGACGGCTTGCCTGCAGGACCAGTTCTTCGTCCGGGGCAGCTCTTGACGGTCTCCCTGGGGTCCGTTCAGGGGCAGCGATAGGGGGGATAGGCATAGGGGAGGATGCATCGATTCCCAATCGCCCATTGATTACAGATATGGGCCCGATGCCAGGAAGGTGCGGATTCACTGTCTGGGGCCTATCGCCGATCTATCGGCGATGTATCGCCGATTCCAGGTCGATGTATCCCCCCCTATGCCAGTCCCCCCCTGTCGTTGCCCCCCATCCGTGGAGGGCCCCCGTGGGCCGAATATGATGGGGACAAGCACGGCCGCTCCAATCCTTTCGGAGCCTCGGGCCTCTAGGATCCTCGCGCGAGCGCCGCCGCTGCTCCGCCCGAGGAGTTGGTGTAGTATACCCAAAACTTCTGGGGGGTGGCCCAGGGTCTTGGTCGTGGGCTTGGTATACCACATTCCCTCCCTGGGGCGTGCTTTTTGTGTACTGACCGTGGCTCCAGGCAGGGAATCTGACTGGGGCGGGGAGGGTGCGGTATACAAAAGACTCGCGAGGAGCTTCCATTCCTGGGGGGCGGTGCCCCTTCGGCGTGCCGCCCGAGCCTCCGCCAAACCTCAGCCTGGCTGCCCGGCTGCCCTCCGCCCCGAGGGGGGGTCGCCCTTCCGGGGCCCGGCGCCGCAGGAGGCCGCGCGGCAGCAGGCCGCGGACCTCGACAGGCGCGGGCCAGCGGCGGCTCGGTCGAGAAGAGGGCGGAGGAGGAGGAGGAGGAGGAGGAGGAGGAGGTGGAGGAGGTGGAGGAGGAGGAGGAGGAGGAGGAGGAGGAGGCAGGGGGAGAGGAGGATTCGGAGGAGGAGGAGGGTATCCGTGTGAACATTTTGAAGTCGCCAAAGCACAATTCTCAGGATTTTAACGCCACGAATTAACCTGACTATTACGTCTAGGCGATCCAGAATCGTGCCAGAACACCATTCCTGGGACTCAAACACCGCGACTCAACGTAACTGTTGCGTCCTGACAATCCTGAATCGTTCCAACAGAATGTCTGGTGCTTTAACCATAAGAACCATCAAAACTGTTTCAGATGTTGAAGACGAGTGTGCGCGGCGGGCGCTAAGGCGAGAACCACATTTGGAAATGACCGGCTCTCAGTCCGTGAAGCTCGTGCAACTTTTTAGAACGAATGTGCGCGGCGCTAAGGCGAGAGCCGCATTTTGAAAACGACCCGCTCTCAATCCGTAGTTCTTACAAGTTTTTCAAATCGAATGTGCGCGGCTAAGGCGGTAATCGCATTCTGAAAATTACCCGCCCTCAATCAGCGCCCTTGTAATTTTTAGAACGACTGTGCTCGGCGTTCAGGCGATAACCGCATTTTGAAAACGACTCGCCCTCATTCTGTGAAGCTCCTGCAACTTTTAAATTGTTTTTTTCGCGGCGCTAAGGCGAGAACCACATTTGAAGACCACCCACCATCTGTGAAGGTGTTGCCAATTTTTCAGCATCAGAGTCATCAGTGGTGGGGAAGGTCTCAGGCGCACCGCCCGGCCCGCCCTTTCGATTGGCTTCGGGGTGTGACAGGGAGGAACTATCTGTAAGGAAGAGGAGGAGGAGGAGGAGGAGGAGGAGGAGGAGGAGGAGAGGAGGAGGAGGAGAGGAGGAGGAGGAGGAGGAGGAGGAGGAGGAGAGGAGGAGGAGGGGGAGGGGGAGGAGAGGGGGAGGGGAGGGGAGGGGGGGGAGGGAGGGAGAGGGAGGGGGGGGGAGGGAGGGGGGGGGGGGGGGAGGGGAGGGGGGGGGAGGCAAGCTAGGTGCGTTCGCGTCATATCTGACATCCTGCCCCTCCCTCCCATCCCTTACCATAGCGCAGATCCCCTCTCTACTCGCTCAGTCGGATGTCGAGCAGGGCAATGATCCCGAAAGGGTACGCGATGCAGTGTAGAGCACGGCATGGCATGGCGTAGAAGAGCACCGCAAAGCGTAGCATCAACCTAGCATTGCATTGCATGCCGTGGCATGGCACGGGAAATGACGCCAGCGCTGCAGCAGGAGCACGAGTCGAAACGAGCGGAAGCGCGGAAATGAGGCCAGCGCTGCAGTGGGAGCACGATTCGGAACGAGCGGAAGCATGGATATGAGGCCAGCGCTGCAGCTGGAGCACGATTCGGAACGAGCGGGGCCCGAAATTGAGGCCGGCGCCTCAGCGAGAGCAGCATTTTGAAACAATGCAGGCGAAAACCCAACTCCGGGGAAACCTGTTGTAACAAAAACAGGACGCGGGGGGGGTCGGCCACTTTCAAACCGTCATCAGGGGAAGAGGGGGAGTAGTATTCATATTGAGTAATTGGTGGAGGGAGGGGAGGGGAGGGGAGGGGGGAGGGGATGGGGGGGGAGGGGAGGGGAGGGAAGGAGGGAGGGAGGGAGGGAGGAGGAGGAGGAGGAGGAGGAGGATGAGGAGGAGGAGGCGCAGCGGGTGGACCCACGTGCCCCTGTGCAGCGCACTCTCGCCAGATCCTTGGCCAGCTCTCTTTTTGTAGAAGATTTCGCCCCTATCATCTGGAGGCGCCTGGCCAAGTGGGCGTCTCGGACCCCATCCCGTCGGGCACGTGCGGGGGTGAGCTGGCCTGCGCTTCGTGAGTGCTTGGCTAGCTTTCCCCCTGCGTGGCAAAGCTCGGTCATCAAAACTCTGGTGGGTGGGTGGACGACGGAGCGGAGGATGACGCAGACCGACTGCCGCTGCAAATTCGGATGCACGGACGCCCTGGACGCGCAAGCTCATTATATGGCGTGCCCGTACCTATGGGGGGCGGTGCTCTCAGTGTGGTGGCCCCAGGAGCCCATTGAAGTGTTCCTCGATCGTCGCCTCGGTCTCGCTCGAGAAATGTCGGAGCCCCAGAGACTGAGAGCGCTCGAGAGGCTCATCATCGCGTTTTACTTGTACAATTCGGTCCGTCGGTTCAATGACATCGACGAGGAGGTTTTACATCAATGTGCTCGAGCTGCGAGATCGCAGTTCCTGCAGCAAGCTGAGCCCTGTGAGGGCTAGAGTGGACGAACTCCTTCCGAGGCTACGTTTGAGGAGGAGGAGGAGGAGGAGGAGGAGGAGGAGGAGGAGGAGGAGGAGGAGGAGGAGGAGGAGGAGGAGGAGGACACACCCTCCTGGTGTGGCTCCTCGGCGTCAGTGGGTGGCGTCGGGCGCGCGCGCGCGCCCTTGCTCGGCTGCAGTAGGAGGAGGAGGAGGAGGAGGAGGAGGAGGAGGAGGAGGAGGAGGAGGAGGAGGAGGAGGAGGAGGAGGAGGAGGAGAAGGAGGAGGAGGAGGGTGCCCTCCTCCCTGTTCCGTCCTCTGTCCCTCTACTCCCTCCATCCTCTCTCTCCGTAGCTATTTTGGCTCGAGCCACTGGGCAGGAGGGGGCGGGGCGCTCGCATCGCGGCTTGGGCGCCTCAGCAAGTTGAGGAATTCCGAAGCGCACCTGGACGTGGAGCTCTTCGGCGACCTGGAGTCTTCCAAGAGGACAAGGGCGCTTGCGGCTCCACCATGGGCGACGAGACAGACAGCACGTCTGTGGCTGAGCAGCGTGATGGCTGCGCTGCTGGGAGCAACGTGGGAGGTGAGGAGAACCTCGACGGCGCGGGCGTGAACACCTCGATGAAGACTGGCCCTTCTGTTGAGCCGATGGCTGTCGGCTCGGCCCCGCGCAGCATGGACGAGGCCGCGAGCGTCGTCGTGGACGTGGAGGCCGAGCTGGCGGAGGCCAACGCTGCGCACGCGGCCAAATGCGAGGCGGCCTTGGGCGCGGGCGAGCGCCGCCGTCGTATTTGCCCCTCGCCGGTGCCGTCACCGTGGCGGAATATCCGCGGGGCTCGGGGCGCCGGTCGGGAAGACGGCGAAGTTTTGAGTGTCGCAGAGGCTCGTGCGCCTCCTGCGGCTCGCCTGGCGCTGTTCGGGGATGCGGAGGCTTGTGTTCCTCCCGTGCTCCTTGGGGCTGGCTGTCGGGCCTGTGGTGCGGAGGCCCGTTTTCCATCTGCGCCACAAAAGGCAGTGTACAGGTCTGGGCAGGCCTTTGGGATGCTTGTGGGATCTTCTGGGAAGCCCTTCGGAGCCCCTCGGATTCGGTTTTGGATTATCTTGGGGGCCTCTCGGGGGTGTCTTGGGGGCCCCGCGGGGCTTGATTTGGGCCTCTTGGGGGCCTCCTGGAGCTTGCGGGGGGCCTCTCAGGGGCCTGCTGGCGGTCGCGGGGCCATTCGAGGGCGAAGGGCTCGAAATTTTGGTTCGTGTTCCCCCTCTTGGGCCTCTCTGGGACCCTCCATGGGCCCTACTTTAGGCCGTCTTGGGGGCCCCTCGGGCCGTATCGGAGCCATCTTGTGCAGCCTGGGGGCGCCCTTGTGGTGGGCGGCCGCTTGGGTCTTCTCGTGCAATCTTGGTGGCAACTTGGGCTGTCTTGCAGCGTCGAAGCCCGAAGAGGCGAGAGCAGCATAATCCTTCAAGAACAGAAGGGACACCCATGATTTTTGCATCTCGGGACCCTCTAGGGGGGCCTCGTGGAGCCCTCTTCGGGGCCTTTTGGGCCGTCTGTGGCCATCTTGGGCGCCTTGGGGCGATGTGTTGGTTACTTGGGGCCAGTTTGACCGTCTTAGGAGGCCTTTTGGGCCCTTTTGGCCCTCATGGGCCCGTGGGCCGCTGGAAAAACCACGCGGGGAAACCCGAACACGCGCGGGGCCGCCCAGAAGATTTGAAAGTGTGGGCTCCTTGCTCCCAGCTCGAACAAGAGGCACGCGTGCCAAGGATCATACAATCGCGGGTGCGGGACAATGTGAGATGGAGATGGCACCAACCTGTGGTAGTTTCGGGGAAGCGCGCGAGTGCTGCGACACGCTGGCGAGTGACCATAACGGGGGAGCGGCGAATAGCAGCATGGCTGTGTGGACGCAGCGCCAGGTTCGATCTGAAGGCGATCTTAATATGACGGGGAAGGTTTGCGAGGCTTCGACGGCGTATTTCATAATGCAGGCCCCCTGTATGAAGCGAGACGCTTGGTCCCAGGGGGGGGGGCGCGCGATGGTATGCGTAGCCAAGATCCACCACCGTGTCTTCAGCACGCTGTGGAGCGCCCCACAGCTCATGCAGCCCTTAGAGGCAGGAGGGTTGTAAGGTTCTTGAGGGCCGTTGGTTTCCCAGGCGCTCTTGCGCGGGCCTGGGGTATGCCGCGCGGACTTTTGGGGCGCCCCGAGGGCCCGAAGGCGGGCCAATAGAGCCATCAGAGGCTCCCACGACGGCGGGAAAAAAGGGCCCCGACTCGTCATCGAACGATCGGGCCAAGACGCCCAAGGGGGCCTCCACAAGGCCCAAGGTGCCCCCAAGACGCCCCGAGAGGTCTTCAAGCAACCTTCCGAGAGGGCCTCGCTAGACAAAGCATAGATGTTTGACAAGTTTTTCCCAACCCTCCCGTGTTGGATTCTCGGTTTGAATAGAGCAGTGTGGTCTCCACCCTCCTTCTCCCGCCTCCTCGCTCCTGCCTTCTGTGCTCTCCTGCCGTCTGGTTCCTGATTCCTGCCTCGCTGTCTTGTCTTGTCTGTTGGGTGGCCTTGCCTAGGGGTTGCGATCACTGGGGGGTGGGCTGCGATCTGCGCAAAAGTCGCCACTTTCGTGGGCTCCTGGGGGGCCCAGCGGAGGTACGTCATACGCAGATCACCACTATAGCTCGCGGTGCCCTGGGGGCTGCGATAT